GGGGGGGGCTTTTTCCCGGAGGACAAGTGGGCCCGAAGAGGGGGCGGCCCGAGGGGGGTGTATGTACGCACGGATCTCCAGTGGAATGGAGGTGAGCTGGTTCCGGGACAGGTTGAGATTGACCAGGGCCCGGGCCTTGCCGATCACTGGAGGGATCTCCTCAATCTGGCGGTCCGAGAGATCAAGGTCCTCGTCCTCCTTCTTGGCGGACTTGCGGATCTCCCGGGCGAGGGCGGAGTTGACGTTGCCCATGGTTGTGTGGGGGGAAAGAAGGGGGGGGGGGCGCGAAATGCAGAGCGGAAGCGATGTGGGGGGGGGCAGGGGAGGGAAAGGGGAAAGGCGAGGTGACCAGCCAGTGACCCGGGCCGCAGTTCCGGGCCGCCCGCCCTTCAGAGGAGGACCCCGCCGCGGTGGTCGGCGGGCTGGCCAGGCCAACCTCTGGCTCGTTGGTCTCTTTCCGGCTCGCCGCCCCCCCCTGCGCGTGTATTATTGGCACGGGCGCGCGCGCGCGCGCGCGCGTATTGGCCATTAGAATAGCCCGCACATCCCTGGTTCGCCTGATCCCCGCGCCAAGCGTGGCCCCCGCCTTTTCACGCACAGTGAGACCGCCCACGCCGTTCGAGGGGACGGCCGGCCGACCCCTGCCCGGGAAGGCGGGACAGTGAAACTATTTTTTCAATTGTGGACCAGGCCCGCTGGCTCGCCCAGCGCGCCGGCGGTCGTTTGGTCCCCCCCCCCCCCATCCCCCCCCCCGCCCCCCCCCCCCCCCCCCCCCCCCCCCCCCCCCCCCCCCCCATGCGAGGCCAGGCAAGCCCCTGTTGCAGCCAGCCGCCCGCCCTGACAAAAGAAAACAAAGTTCCGCGCATTCCCCCCCGTTCTTAGCTCAAGAAGCCGCCAGGCATGCCCCCGCGGGGAGGGAGGGGGGGGACAAGGAAGGCACCTCACTTGCTCCGGCCCCGCTCCTGCTGGCTAGCGGCGAGCCTCGGACACACACACACACACATAAATATATGCACACACCAGAAAAGACGAAAAATGCACACACACACACACACACACACATACACACCCACGACGGAACGCGAGACGGGGAGCCGCGGCCGGGGCAGGGCGGGCCAGAGGAATGTATTACCACGTGATTGTCAGTCATACCGGCGCTCGTGGATCACCCCGAGCCCGGACTTGCTCTTGATGCCGAAGGACCGATCGCGGCTGAGCTGCGCACGCTCCTCGGCCACCCGGCGCAGCTCGTCGATGCGGCTTTGGTCCGCGGCCAGGATATTCCGGATGCTATCGGCGGCTGCCTGGCTCCGCGCGCGCTGGGCAGACCGCAGGGAGTCCGCATCGTTCGCCACCATCGACATCAGCCCGGCATCGTCCTCGGCAAAGGGATCGTCCAGGGCCGCCAAATCGGCCAGGGAGGACCCGCGGCCGAGCCGACCGGCCGACCGACCACGGTTCGGATTCGCCAGCCAGGCGTCGTAGTCGTAGTACCTTTTTTGGGATTCGGCAAGGGGGAGCGCGGGGGCAGGGGAGAGGGAGGGGGCGTCAGCAGAGAGGAGCAGCGAGATGGCGGGTGGCGAGAAGAGAAGGGAAGGGGGGGGAGGGGGGGGGGGGACAAAAACGCACTTCTGGTCAGGAAGGGAGCCCGCATTGTAGAGGCTGGCGAACTCCATGAAGAGAGAGCGCTCCTGCTGGCGGGAGATCTGGTCCGGACGCTCCTTCTTCACCTCCTGCAGCCAGGCCATGAACTCCTGCTCCTTGGTGTGGCGGTCTTCAATGCTGTGGGAGTGTCGGCACCCCGAGAAGAGAAGCGGGGAGGGGGAAAGGAGGGAGGGGGGAGGGGCAGGTAAGTACGGCTGGCGAACGGAGAACCGAGAATGTGCGACAGGAGAATCGAGGGAAAAGGACCACCGGGGGGGGGGGGGGGGGGGGGGCAAGGGTTGCTCGCCACGGGCTGTTTGCTTCGGGGGGGGGGGGGGAGACGTACCGGATGAAGCCATACTTGCCAATGGAAGAGGACTCGCTCTGGCGCTTGGCCGCGCGCTCGGCCCGCTCGCGGGCTTCGATACGACGCTCACGCGAGGATGACCGGCTGTCGCGGCGCCGCGAGCGCCGATGGCGACGCCGGCTGCTCCGCTCCCGGGACGAGTCGCTGTCATCCCCGGAGGAGGCCGACCGGGACCGAGACCGGCGCCGACGCCGGCGCCGACGTTCGCGATCTGAGTCCCGGCGGCTGTCCCGGCGCCGACGCCGGCGCTCGCCCCGGTCATCGTCGGACCCGCTGCCAGCCGACCGAGATCGCGACCGGGACCGGGAGGCATCGGCCGAAAGGGACCGCCGGCGGCTCCGCCGGGGGTCCTTGTCATCGATGTCACGGCGTCGCGACCGCCTGCCGGAGGGCGATCGGCTCACGGAGCGAGACGACCGGCGCCGCGAACGCGACGACCGGCTGCGGCTGCGGCTGCGGCTGCGGCTTCGATTCCGGGCGCGGCGACTGGAAGACTGACGCCAGGGGGAGCACATAAGAAGAGGAACATGACTTGTGTCAATCACGGCCAAAGAACGGGCAAGCAAAGTGCACGCGACTGGGGAAGCCATACGGAGCGCTCACTGGCGGCCACATCCGACCGGGCTGGCGACCGGGACCGAGACCGGGACCGGGACCGACGCGATTCCCGCCGACCGAGGGAGTCCTCCGAACGGGACATGTATGTATGTATGTGTGGTACTGGGGGGGGG